GCTTAAACTTGTATAATGTCGAAGAGTCAAAAACTCCTAGCTCCTTCCATAAAATCACAAAGGAGAGAATGGGCTCACTCTATCTGTGCAAAATAAGTTTACAACTATTACAATTCTCCCACCCCCCCACTAAAGAAATATGAGTAGCATGAAGGTGTCTCAGAACTGGAACGAAAATGGGTGTTTGTAGGTGAGTGGCCCGTGTCTAGATAGCAAAATAAGTGAGCATGGGGGAGGGTGTCCAATAACAGGAATGGGCTTAAATGGGAAAATGCTTTCAGGCGGGGATAAAAATAGGCTAGCAAAGTGGAATGAGTCATTCTTCTATAATTAAGTGAAGGATTTAAATTAATTATCTGAAACCAGAAGACTGCCACCGAATTCGAAAAATTAGAACAGTGCATACTGTGCCATGCCTTCGATGGAAAAAGGAGAAATTCCAATCCAACCAGGATCTGAACGAGACAAGAATTTTGATGTTCAACTTAAACTCTCCACCATCCTTACATCTCCTAATAGCCTATTTTATCTGCGTTCAGTTGCTTGATGGTAATTAAGCATTGAAATTTTTGCTTCACTACGGGAAATATCAAAACATTGAGCTTGTTTTTAATTTTTTCCTCAAATATTTGTAAATAGGAACACGTTTCAACTGAGGAGAAATTTAATAATAATTGAAAAATTACAAACGAATAAAACAACGTGTTTTGAAATTTCTGACAAAATTAAAACTTTTAAACAATAAAAAATTTTAAAAAAATTTGTTCACTGCAATAAAATTATAAATCCCCAAATAAAGCAAAAGGTGAAATATATCTATTTCTGAATGCAAAAATATTACAGATTTTAATATTCGATTAGTGCTATTTATCAAATCACTCATTTAAATGCAACAAAAATCATTGAGAAAAGCCAAAGACCTAAATTTTTACGTTTAAAGAGAAAATAATGTATACAAATGCGTTTTAAAACAACGCACTAAAAAACTCTTACACGCATCAATTTATGCAGGTCATCTGATGAATGCTAAGCTCAAACACGAGCATGAATGTTACTCCCTGCACAGGCTGTCACCAGCCAATCAGACTCCTCCATAGTAAATCACCTATGCAAATACACTACTACGAGCTCAGTTCACACCAAACAGTGACTGAGCCCGTGAGCAAGAAATAATGGTTCGTGGCGCCTTTCACCATGCCCTGATAATTCCAGCAACATTCCTCTATAATCAACCCAAAAAGCTTGGAAATGATGCCAAGAGGCTGCGAAGGGAGGCTCTTTATGATTCTGAGGATTTAGCTCGACATTTAGCCAACTACGTGATGAATCAGATTCCCACCCTCTCTGTTTCCCATATCTCTTCCAAGGATGTCATTACGCCTGACATTTGGTCTGATCCATCTCGTATCTACGCTTGTCTTTTCGCTAAGGCAAGTAGGATTTTATTTCTGGTAACACGGCAAGATATCGATGCTTTCTCCGACTTTATAACCCAACGTTTTCAACCTCTGTTAGAACGAGCAGAAGCAATGGATTACTCCTGGAAGTCCCGTTTCCTTGTCGTGGCAATGGGTGAATTTCAACTTGTGGATTCCCTGCCATGTGAAGTTATTCGATTTCGAGAGATTGGGTGGTTCAGGGACAGTATGGCACTCTTCATTTTAGGCAAAAAAATCCAGGGTTAGTTTGCGAAGTACCAATGTGGTTTAAAAATTAGCCTTCTTCAAAGTTGACACTTTTTCGTTCTTTAAATACCAAGAAATTAGACGTCACTCAATAAGCTTTTTCTCAAAATTATAAAGACCAAATTTAGAATCACACACACACACCCGACTATCAAAGTTTAACCTAATTATCCTCATTACTTGACAACTGACGTAGTATAATTTAAAGAAAACTAAAATGAAATTCAAAAACCGAAATTAAATGTTTTTCAAGTTGATATGGCTGAACTTAACTTCCATTATTTACTTTTTAATTTCCTTTATGCTATTCAAATGCTTTCCTTTTAGGGCCAAAATGTCCACACTTCAGTTGCTCTCACAAACTTATCGCATCAAAAGTGTCACAATGGGTTGAATTAGTACGTCTCAGTAGCATTTTAGAGTACAAAAGTGCTTTATATGGTACAGCATTTACTTGGTGTATGGGTCATTCTTATATTAGCATGTTTTAAGTTATTTGATAAAATATTTTATTAAAATTTGCGCTGAGGAAAAGAACTGGGCAATTTGATGCACAGTTTTCAGTACTTTAGAAAGAATTTAAATGAATTTGAAAGAATTTGAAACATTGGTGCGGTATATTTACAGTCCTTATATACGGCTGGAGATTAGGTCACATGACTGTTGATTAGAAATATACTTTCATCGTTGGTATATCAAGAACGAGGAAATTTATTTTAATAATTTTTGAATCAACTTATTTCAAACAGCAATTAGAATCCTCTTACTAAACATCTTATATTGGGTGACGTTACCAATCATATCTTTACATTCGCGGAGTGGTTAGTTGGTAATAACCGAGCCCTGTTTTATTCAAGGCTTGTTCAAAATCCATTGATGACCACGGTGCTAACGTTAGAATTAGTAAGAAAAGAATCCCTTGTTCTATTTTAGTAACTGGTGGGCAGCTATCTTTTACATTCAACTTTCATATGGTATTCTTTTATTTACTTAATATTCACAGAGGGGGGGGGGTGTGCGATAGACTTACCTCCACGTGGTGCACCCTGGGCAACGTTTACTCATATGGCAAAAAAGTCTATTAACCGACAGCTGACTTCTGACTTCAAACTAGCATCACCACACTGTATGTCATATTACACAGCTTCCACAGTACTCATCTCACCTTTGTTCAACCTTTGTGTTTGTCTCTTACATTTTTGAAAAACTCTTCTGTCCCCCCCCCTCTCGACATTTTTTCAATTTGATGTTCCTTCCCCTCTGTGAAGCCTGAAGTCAACTAAAGGGCTAATGATAACCATCAAGACGCCTGCCATTTGATATAAATAAATATTCACAGAGGGGAGAAACATCAGAGAGGGAAAAAAGTGGAGAGGGGAAACAGAAGAGTGACTCACAGATGTAAGAGAGAGAGAGACAGACCGACAGACGCAAAGGTAGAGACAAAGGTAAGGTGAGTACTGTGAAAGTATTCGAATATGACATACAGTGGAGTCATGGTGGTTAGAGATCAGAAGTTAACTGCCAGTAAATAGACATTTTTGTCGTATGAGTATACGTTGCCCAGGGT